AGTCAGGTAGACCAATGTTCTCTACAAGTTTATGGTCTTCTTGGTCCAAAAATTAGGTAAAATGACATCAGTTTCTCCATATTACAAGGTCATTGTGACAGCATGGTCCACAGTCCCTAGCACAAACAATGTGTGACTTGTAGTGCATGATGGGTAAAACACTCAGAAGGAGGCTGATGGAAGTGCAGGGCTCATACCACTAATTGAAACTCCATAGACGACAATGTTAACATATGATGAGATTGCTATATGAAAATAATAAACAAAGTTGAAAACATAGCTCTAAAATGGGAAATCAACATGCCTGTAATCAACCACATGAAAAAAACACACATGTTGGCCAGCTCAAACTCTTGCAAAACTCAGGTAAACAAGACACACCTACTGTATTTGGACTGCACCTAGAGAAATCACTGGAAAAACACCAAGATTAGAACATCCAAATACACACTGAATAATCCCACAGGTACACAGCCACTAAGTAGTAAACAAAAGACCACATGTTAGTCTCGCCTCTTACCCAGGTGATCGCGCCCTCAAACAGGGAACACCTGAGAAAAAAATTATTTAAAAAATTTCATTGGTTCCTGTTAGGCATTTAAATTGAGGGCTACGAGCAGCCATTAGTTAATTAGTGGCATGAGCCCTGCACCATCTGTGGTCACAGGAAGTTCAGACTGTGTTCAGTAACTTATCTCCCAATAATTTAATAGTTATAAAATTTCTCAAAATGCTTTAGTTATGTTTTTCTTCTAATCTGCCAATTATGAATTAAAATAAAGCTGATCCCAAGAATATTAAAATCATGGTTATTTGTTTTAAAATTACTCAAATCTTTTTATGAAGTTTTAACAATTCAGTAAAAAACTAGAGACTTTCTGTTTTTGTGTGATAAAAATATAGACATTTGGAAAGTTGAAAGGAAAATTAAACTAAACATGGATATTTTTAATTTTTTACAAATGATTTTCCATCAGTATTTGTTTATATTTTTTTCAAAATGTGCTGACTTTTAAAAGTTTATAGAAATAACGTATATATATCTGATTTTTTTAATAATTTTTTTTTTAA